AAACAACATTTCCCTAAGCCAAGTCTCCTCATGCTGCTCCTGTGTTTTGTCTTTCCTCCCCCATGTTAACTCTCAGATTTCTTTGTCAGTGGTTTTTCCTTCCTTCAAGAAAAACCACCTCTAGGTCTACCTTGAACCTGCCCAAAATCATCTTTCTTTCCTTCTTTCCCATTAAAAAAGTTATCTTCCAGTGAGTCCTTAGAGAATCCATAGACCTCTCCAGATGTAGTTCACAGCCACAGGCTGAGACCAACCTTTGATCCTAAAAAGGACCCAACACCTTTCTGGAGATTTCATTTTCTAGAGCTTTAATTACCTATTTGGCCTTAAAGAAGTTCAATACAAATAAGTATGGGGAAAAGCGACTAAAAGGAAAGAAAATATTTAAATTACAAAGGTCATTGATGGTGACATTTAACATGAACTCAAAACTTGCCAGGAATGTTCACAGAGTGCAGAAGGAACTTTACCAAGTGCTGATCCAGGAGCTTTGCTAAAGTTAAACAAACTTGAAACATAAATGCTGCAACTAAAGGCACAGAAACCTGATGGTCTGACCTATACACAAACTCTAACAGTAATAACATTTTAAAATCCCTTCATATGTTGTATTTGCTTAAAATTAGGGGAATAAAAGGTAATTCAACACGTTTGAGCAACCTGGGCTGGTGGGAGGTCTCCCTGCCCATTGCAAGGGGTAGAACTGGATGAGCTTTAAGGTCCATTCCAACCCCTAAATTCCATGATTCTGTGATATTCCAGTGATGAAATGTTTTCAAATTAAACAACTTTAACATTTCAGCTGCTGCAAACCCTGAGATGCTCAGGCTGTGATTTAGAGCCTTTAGCCATGTGAAGAAAAGTAGCATCTCTGCATGTCAAGGGCAAGTTCTGGGAACCCTTGACGTGTTTTATGTGTGTGAGTGGAACAATTATTTATAGCTGCAGCAAGACAAAAAGGCAGTTTGGGAAATAATTCACCAAGGGATAAATTGTGAGCCAGATGTCACTCAGCTGAACGCCCTGGCACTGCTAATTTCTGACATTCAGGGCTTAATATTAGACTGAAAAGGTACTTTTAACTTGGGCTAGTCAAAGCATTTTCTGGCTGAACCGAAAGAAGTTGCAGAGATGTTTCACTAATGGATGAAAACTATGATCAGGTGTTCACCAGAATCTTTTAATCTGGGGAACCTCATTCCTTTCCATCTAATCACTTTGAATTTTATTAATTCTTCATATATGGACTTAAAGAAATACTAAAATCACCTTAAATTTGTAAACATTTGATAATTCCACTCAGGTAACATCCAGCCATTACAGCATAACAGATATACACATATTTATTTGTGTATATGAGTCTGACAGAGTATCATAGCAAAATAAGAAAAGTTTTAGTTATATAAAACAGCCTAATGAAAATACCACAAGTAAAGGACATTAAAAGTGAAATAATGCAGGAATTAAATGCTTTGAACTATGCCCCAGCAGATCCAGCCCCAACAAAACCATCTGCAGACACAAAATATTTGTAGAGTGTCTTCCCTTCAACAGAGGTTTTGTGTTTTCCATGTGTGTCAGCTGCCCAGGCTGGTTATGTTTGGGTTTTTCTCTCCCCATGATGGCTCAGGAGCTCACTGCTCTTCACAGCTGCTGCTGCCACAAAATGAGATCAAAAACTAGCCAAGAGGGGAAAATGTGAGGAAACAAACAAACAAAAGAGCAGAAAAAAAACCCACCAAAAATGATGCCAAAAAAGATAAATATTGAAGAAAATCCAAAGTAAGTCCAAAAAAAGACTTAAAAATTGACCCTTCCTTGTCCTACCACTCTTTGCCCACATAAAAAAAAGTTGTTGTCTCTCTTTTTGAACACATCTATCACCTGCAGGCAATCCTGTGTGGAGTCACAGCTCTTTGGAAATCTTCCCTAATGATCACAGCACCACAACTAAGCTCCAGCACAACTCAGCACAGGCCAATACACATATTTCTCTTCCTTAATCAAGCCAATAACACCAATGAACTAATTGCAGAGCAACACCTATGTGTGAGCTATGACCACATAGTAACTCCTTAAGGTCCCAGTGCTGCCAATGCAAAATTCCCATCCACACCAGGAGAACAAGGGATCCATTCATACATTTTTAGGACCTTCCCAGGCTGTGAAAAACTTCATTTCCAAACACAGCTCATAAACCATTTACACATCATTTAGCTTTTTGGCAATATTTCTTCTTTTGCATAGTTAAACAGGGAAGAAGGAACAGAATTTTGGGTTGGAAATAAGAATTCCTCAAAGAGAAAAGCAAATATACATATCGATATATGATTGATTTCCCCAAACATTAAGAAGTATCACTACAGAGACAGAAATATCTGTTCTCCCTCTAAGCTCTGGGAAGATCCCACCACCAGTGCTGCCTCCAGCTCTGGGGCACCAACACTGTGTGCACTCTGTTCTTCCCAAATTCCTTGAATCCTGGACAAAAAGAGATATGGAACAGCCTCACATCAGTTTGTCCTGAGTCTGGAGGACACAGCCAAGGGCAAGAGATGGTTGTTTCCTTTCTCAGAGCAGAGGAACACAGAAGGAAATCTGGGAAGCTAAACCAGGAGGGAAGATGACAATTTCTAAGGCCTCACATGTACAGAACTCCTTCAAATGAGACATAATCTGTACAAATTCAGTGAGAACAATTCCAAGTGAATATGTGATTCACTCACTTTTCACCTCATTTAATACCCTGTTTATCCCACCTTCACCCACATATTTTACCTACTACATAAATATGATATATACCTATATATTACCTACTAATACAGTTCCTTTACATATAATATAGAGCACAAACACAATTCCTTTGGCCTCAGCATTCCCATCCCAGAGCAGCACCACATCCCCCTGGTCAGAGTGGCACAGAGCAGAAGACAGAGATCAAAAAAAACCCCTAACAACAAACACTAAAACTTGGACAAATTAACCCAAATTAACTGTTTTGGGATAGTTAATTGCCCTACATTAACAGTACAATGTGACCTTGAACCCCCTAAAGAACACCCAACTTTCTTCTTGTAGAAATCTATTCCATCATCAAATATCTACAGTTTTCCCTCCTTTAACACAGAATTGAAGTTCAAATTGACCTTAACAAACCACCATGAAATCCGAAGACTCAAAAATGATTGTGGACACTAAATACAATCATTTCTTTAAGCTCTCCCCCACACTTACAGCTGATTTTCCTTGCATCTCCTTCACTTGAAGAAAAGATGATGCAGAAAGTCCATGTAAAGTCCATATAAACCATCACCATGTGCTCTCTACAGAGAGGTAGCAGAGACTGAGCCCTTACCTCAGCTCTGCTGCCCTTACCTCTCTTATTTGCCCCAGCTGAGGCTGTGATACTTCATTGGAAACCCCTGCAAGTACCAGGTGTTTGCTATCAAAACATCATGTGAGCTTCTCCTGGAGTTGAGCTGTTAAACACAAACATGTGCTACAGAAATGGCTTTGTGCTCTGAAATCATAGAATCATAGACTCAACTGGGTTGGAAAAGACCTCCAAGATCACCAAGTCCAACCCTACTGTGGTTACCAGACCATGGCACCAAGTGCCACATCCAGTCTCAGCTTCAGAATGTAAACAAACCTGAAAACATCTCAAAATCTGTTTTTCAAGTGTCTGAATACATTTAGAGACATAAACCAGCAAAGAATTAAGAGAATATTTATGTCAAAGAGTCTCAATCCATAGCTGAATTTTTCAGAGAACAGATTCAAATCTCTTTTTTGAGTCAGTTTTAATGTTCCTTCCTGGAAAAGATTTGAACAGTTAGGCAGATACATTAATGTATGACAATGTACATTATCTGAACTCTGTTATCTGACAGATTTGCAGTTGCTCATCTGATTGATGAACAGACATTAAATGATAAGGATTCAAACAGTCAAACTATGCAGGTAAACCACATTAGACCCCACAATGTTGTAATGAAAAATAGAATCTTGGCCCAAACTCTGCCAATGGGGGTAGCAAAGCTGCACAGTGATGATGTCTAGAGGTCTGAGGTATCCATGACTTGAAGATCCATCAAGGGCAATAATATATCTGGGAGAAACTTCTGCAAATTAAGAGAAAACACAACAGACTTCTCTCCTTATTTATACCAAGTGCCACTTAGAATGTTTATGGTGATGAAGCTGCTTGACCAGAGCTGCAATTTCAAGGTCATGGAATTACCACCACTTTGAACAATATCATCTAGATGAAGATTCAGCTGAGGTGAGATCACTGCTAGGAGATAATCCCTTTGGGGAGGGGATCAGGAATTCTGATCTAGGTGCTCAAACAGTTCATCATTTTTAGAAATTCTACCTCGTTTCACACTGTTTCATAATTGGAGTGTGACAGATTATACAGAAAAACAAGATATAGAGTATTATGTTATATTATTTTGTAGTATTACCAGTAGATAAGATAGCTCTGATCAAAGCAAGAAAAACATCTCTCCTAGATGTTTTCTATAAAACCATACGAGTTCTCTAGGAAAACCATAACTAAAGATAAGCTTAAATACACCTGTTGATCCAGACAAGAAATTCTTTATGCACAACGATGAACAGTTAAAAAACAGTTTCCATGTTGCCACATTGTCCACTGAAAGTTCCTTCTCATCTCACCGGGAAAAGTGATTGTCACAGACAATCTCTGTCCAAAAAACACGAGAAGCAAATGTGCTTTTTGATCATAAACCAGTGAGTGATAACTTGAGTTCCTCTCACTGCTCAGTCACCCAGTGGGTTCTTCTGGGGTCTATTTAACCCTGTGTGAAGCAGCTCTACTCAAACACCCAAGGAGTTCCTGACATGCACTTGTCTCTCCAGTGTCCACGTGTCTCTCCAGTGTCTCCTCACACTTTCTGTCACTAAGAAGAATCAGTGATTTCTCCTCGTTCTGGCCTTGGGCTCTGCCAGCAGATGTATCATGAGGTGCTGTGTCAGGACAGGGCAATCACCATGACTGCCCCCAGCACTGCAATGCTGCCTGTCCTCCTGCTGCCATCCGACGTCCTCCGGGCGTGCAGGACAGCAAACACTGCATTTGTGTCGTTGGTTGGGATTTCCACATTGCAGATCATGCCTTCACAGCAGGAAACACACTCCTGTGGGGGAAAAGGACATCACTGCACACAGGGGAACTCAGCAGAGGCTTCTGGAGAGCAGTGTGCATTCAGCTGCTTGCAAAGTTCAGCTAAACAGAGTCATCACCTCCCCTTGGCAGCCTGACCTAGGGCAGCAGATGCTATAAATCATACTCAAATCAAATCTCTTCAAATCATCCTGGAGTAACTCATCCCCTAGTGCTGTCACCAGGCTTCAGAGCTGTGATGGGATGTCACACAGCCACATTAGCTGCATGACAAGTGCACCAACACTGCACAAAAAAGAGCTTCCCCTTCCAACACGTGAGCTAAAAACAGGCATGGGAATGTTTCAGGCTTTGCCTTTCTAAGAGAAAAAATTCTGACTGCAAAAACTCTGTCCCCATTAGTTTGTCCCCATCAGCTTTTGTGTTCGGTGCAGCTTCGTGTGCTGAATTCAGACTTTGCCTGTGAGTTCTCCAGTGCCACAGAACCACCAGCACAGCTGATTGCCAGGAGGGAAGCTGAAAACAATTTTCCTTGTTTGCCTCTCCTTACTAGAAAAGCCAAAACAATGCCAAGTTTCACCTAATCCAGAGGCACAAGAACTCTGGGATAAAATCCCTACCTGTGACAGTGGGTTGGAACAAGAGGATCTTGAAGGTCCATTCTAACCCAAACCTGGGATTCTATGATCTCTGAGAATGCAGCAGGAGGCTGCAGGGTCATTTCATGCCCTCAGTCCAGCAAAACCTGTTGGAATCACTGGAAGCTGATCTAGAAAACACACAGACCCTTTGCTGTTTAACATGGATGTTGCCTCCTTTGTTTTCAGTGTCTGAAACCTTTCATGCTAAAAATAACTAACCTTAATTACTGAGGAACTAGTGGACAACACTTGACAGCACTAATTAACACTTCGGTGGGCTGTGCCTGGTTATTAAGGCTAACCAATCTTGTACCCATCATGCCAAGGATGAGAGAAAGCAGCAGTTTTAGCTTTTCCTCGTGGAGCAAAAACTCAGCTGCATCTTGCTTAAGACTATAGGCAAATATAATCTTGCACAACCTCACTGAGAACTGAAAACCCTTGGGTACACACCAGCCATGCCCCAGAGAGCTCAGGTGTTCCTTCTGAGGTTATTGCTCCATCCTGACACACACCAGCACCAAGAGCAGGAGGAAGAAGGGGTTGGTCATGCTTCTGCTGCAGAAACCTGATGTCTATTGTCAAACACTGCAGAGTGTA